AGAAGTGGATTAAGATAAACTGATATAATTTCTTCTCTAACACTGAAAGCTGTTTAATGTTATCAGATGACAGAAAAAAGGCAGGCAGCTGTAATTTCTCCTGAGGATAACCTAGAGATGATTCCTGGCGAACTTCCTAAAGAGTACCTAATTGCCTTTAGGTTTTCTGGTTCTGTCCTCTTTTTGGAGAATAATGACAATTGGGTTGATAAAAAATGACTTACTTGGAAAGAGAGCAATCCACTTTTAGCTGTTTCTGAAAGCCTAGAAGAAAACCTCCCTTGCAAATGCAGTGGAGTGTTCATGGTCTTAATGGTTTGTCTGATTTAAAATGTTTTGTCTATTGCAGAAAATTTACAAAGGGTGATTAGAGTTCATGTAAATACCAAGGTAGGACTTACAGCCCAGGGCTTCATTTCATATGGCACATTATTTTGAGACCTGCTGCTTCAAAGATAGAGCTCCTGTGGGCATTGGAGTCATGTTGGAAGTGGAGGCTGCAATTATTTTGAAGATTGTATAATGCTAAGGTGTGTATTGCATAGGTACCCACCAAAAGGATTTACAAGCCAAGTTTGGCCACCAGTGTGGAAGCTCTTCGTTCTGAGGTTCTTACACTTGAAGAAGTAACAGCAGATGTAGCTAAGGAAGTAATTATCATTGTTGTTATTATTAATAGCTCTTGTAAGAATTGAATATTGAAACGTGATGAGCTACAGCTGTTTCTTCACTGCCAAATTATCTTTAGGAATTACTGTCTATCTCTGAACTTACAATCTTTACAATTACTATAAAAAACAGAATCTCCAGTAACTTAGAGGTAAAATGTATTTCTTACTTTTCTTTAATGGATTCATACTTCGTTTAACAGAAATTATTTTCCCTAAGGGTCTATTAAAGAAATAGTTTGAAGACAAAGGAGAGGTTACACAACCTTATTTTCAGTTCCAAATAATCCTTTTTTCCCCCTTACTCAGTGCATGCCTGAGTTCAGAGAGCTTAATTCACAAAGGTACTTGGCTACGTTCCTGGCTTTAGGCAGACGAATAGTTCTGTTGTCTTTACTGGGACAATTCATGTGCTTCAAGTCGAGTGCATGAATAGATAACTGGCTGAAGACAGAAGATTATCTCAACCTTTGTACAGGAGGTCAGTACTATTTGTAAGAGCAAAGTCTGTTTGCCCAAATGAGTTTTGTATATCCAAGTTTAATAGCTTCTGTATCCAGGACTTAGAGCCTGACAAGTGCTTATGTAGACATTAAGTCCACCAAAATCCAGACGTGTGAAGGTGTTTGTGGTCTCTTAGAAGCTGTAGTCTAAGCAATTTCATATTTTTTCTGTTCATATATTTATCTACACATGAGAATAGTTTTTCTGTTTTGGTTAGTGACTTATTTGGTGAAACAGATTCCAACCTATTTTCTGATGAAATTACTCTCCAAGAAAAGCCTTGAACCTCCCTTCAGAACTTGAAATGCAGATCCCCTACCCGAGTTACAGAAGCAGACCAAGTACCTGCAGCTGGGGCTCTGGAGCGACGGTCATTGTGTCGAATGGCTGAAAAATCTGCAATCAGCAAACAAAATAGAAAAAAACGGGAAACTGAGGGGTTCTGTGAGAAATTCTAGCCTGAACTGAGAAACAAGTTTGTGACTGGCAAAGGAAGCTGAGATAGAGATTGGACGTGTAGAAAAAATGGTTTGTACTTCTGGACAATGTAATTCATTTTGCAGCTGGAACAGAAGAATATCAACAGAGAGCAGCTGTTGGATATGGCATGGCGTGCCTCTGGATGGAGGGAAGGTGCTGAAAGGAAAGGTATTGACTGGTAAATTCCTGGGAAGTGTAAAGAAAGCACATGAGAAACATGGCCAAAGAAGTGAAAAGCAATGCAGGGAAAGGTAACAGAGACATGCTGAAGGCCTCGTGGTTGAACTGGAAGCTTCTGTTGTGCTAGAAAGTCACAGAGGCTTTAAAAAAATAAACAGCAGGAAAACTTCTGAACCAGAAATGGAACGATGAAGAGCAAAGGCAGGAGAGTGTTCATTACCAGGGTACAACAGAAAAAGAGCTTGGTGGTGCCTTTCAAAGATGTTGTGAACAGGCTCAGCTTCACCACATTTCGAAGGAACAGGAGAACTTGAACGTTTTTGCCCTTTTTCATGTTAAGCACAGAAATCAAAAGTACAGGCTACAGCCATCATGCTGAAAAATACAGAGCCAACAAAGCATGGGAAGAGAAAAGCTAGAAGAAATGGGAAGGAGGTACATTGAAATCCGGGAAGAAGTTATTGTGCCTAAAGAATGGGAGAATTGGAGTCAATGAGTGGATGGATGCCTATGGTAAAATTCTCTCCGTTGGAGAGGTGTCCTTGCTTTGTCCTGGGGAAGCAGCGATAGTACACAGGGTAAAAGATGCTGCCACTGTGGAGTTCTGAAAAACAACCTGAATTTGGGCTCAAGAGATTCATTCATGTTGCAGACTACCACGGAAGGATCATTCTCCATGAAAGGTATCTTCTTTCGCCATTGCTTTAATTGACCCTCGAAAGTTATCACTTAGCACGATGAGACTTACATGGTGGGGCATGCTTGAGATCTGCAAAGTCCTTTTTAGAAAGATCAGAAACATAAGCAATCACACAACAGAATGGTTCAGCCAGGAAGCTGGTCTGCATTCTTTCTCTGTGCTATTTGGCATTGGCGTGGGCTGACTATGGAAGCAATATTCAGGCTTCAGAATAGAATATGTAGATTATCAGGGCATACAGGGACAGGGCACTGAGTTACTGTCTGATGGCTCTGAAAAGCTGGGGAGAAAAGCAAATGTCCTGGCAAAGGCAGAAGGTCAAGCTTAGCTCAAAAGCAATTAGCCCAAATCCATTCCTCTTGTAAGTCAGACGTCATGTTGAAGCAACATCCTGATAATTTGGAGGAGCCACATCATTGCCAGCAAAACTATCAAGAAGAAAGTGAGATAAGGATGGATGTTCATAGGATGAGTAAGCATGGCATAGAGAAATAGGAAATAAAACAGACTCAATTGCAATCTTGTGTTAATGTACATCTCTGAGAACTGGGGACATACCAAAGTGGTGGAGAGGAAGGTAGATGCTTTCTTAAGATGGATAGTGGGCACTTGTCATTAAAAGAAGCCAGTCGGCGGTTATATTTTGTATTCAAAGTGTAAATTCAACATTAATTCAGGGATTAATTCAGTCTGCGCCAGCCCTGCCCGCCGTTGTGCAATGTTGTGGGTGCAGACGGGTGTTGCATCAGCACACAGCAGCAGGCGTGTGTACACTGCATGCATATGGCATCCCCAGCAGTCCGTGTAACCCCCACCCTCTGAGTCATGTGTGAGGGAGAGGGGGGGCACGCATGCATTTCCTTGGGGGCTGTGGCAGGGGAGCATGGAACAGAGGGAAAAGCTCAAGTGGAGATTGCTCTGCAGGGACCAGGCCCTTCCCACTGTGCACAGCTCTCTGTATCCTGAAGTGGGAGAGCGGATGCTTTGAATCCCAGCACATTTGTGATCTAAACCACATGATGA